TTCGTTGAATTGTTTTTAATGTATGTTTCAATTTTTTTTATATTAGCATACTTTTGTTTTTGGGTGGGGGTTTGACTTTTAAATTTGGAGATTAAATTCGCTATGCACATGTTTTAATTATTTATTAAAATATCCAATTAATTTCTCATACATTCAGTATTGCAAAGATTAAATTTATACAATATTTTTTTTAGCGCTGAAAAACGCTTTTCCAATATGGCAGTCTACTTTATTCAAGGAATGTAATTGAAATATTGGTAAAAACATTGTAAAGCAATAAACAGAATAAATATCTCTCAAGGTCACATCCATAATAATTTTCATTCACAATCTCATTTATTTATATCGTTTACTCATATGTAATAATAATCAAAATTTTGCTAAGATTTATTTCTGATAAGTGCACATGTCAGGTCAAAACGGGAACACACAACTTTTTGACTCCCATGTGCGAAGCACAAAATGGGAGTCTTTGCAGTTAGTGTGTCTGTATGTATGTGTGTGTGTATGTGTGTCCGACTGTTCCACTGATATCTCAAGAACCATACATCAGTTTTTGATGAAACTTGGTGCATAGATGCTCTGGGCCAATGGTTTTGGTAAAATTCCATGCATATTAATTACCTAATTTGCATAATAATAAGCTAATTTTTAGCTGTTCCATGACTGTTCCATTGATATCTAAAGAAACATTCATTGGATTTTGATGAAACTTGATATATAGATGCTCTGAACTTGTGCGCAGATTTGATTAGTTTTTGGTAAAAATTACCTAATTACCTAATTTGCATAATGATTAGTGAATTTTCGGTTTTTCAACTGATCAAGTACTAATCATCACATTTCAATGAAACTTGGTACATAAATGTCATATGACACTGCACAGACCTGATAGTTTTTAGGGTAATACCAGTACATAATAATTACCTAATTTGCATAATTAATTAATTTTCAGCTTTTGATGTTTCAAGTAGTGAGCATTACATTTCAATGAAACTTGATACATAGATACTCAAGGACTATGCAGAGATTCATTTTTTTGGGATAAATATTTGTGCATATTAATCACCTAATTTGCATAATTAGTTAATTTTCAGCTTTTTCACAGATATCTCAAGTACTAATCATCACATTTCAATGAAACATAGTACATAGCTCCTTTAGGACTATCCAGAGACCTGATTAGTTTTAGGGTAAATAATTGTGCATATTAATTACCTAATTTGCATAATTAATTAATTTTCGGCTTTTACACTGATTTCTCAAGTACTAATCATCACATTTCAATGAAACTTTGTACATGGATGCTGTAGGACAATAGACAGACCTGGATAATTGTGGGTTAAAATCTGTACATATTAATTACCTAATTTGCATAATTACGGTAACCACTATTAAGCTATCACATTGATATCTAAAGTACTAATTATTCCATTTCAATGAAACTTGGTACAAAGATTCTCTAGGACAATGTACAAACTTGATTAGTTTGGGGTAAAAATCTGTTTATATTAATTTCCTAATTAGTATAATAATTCATAATTTTTTTTGGTTCCAATCACATTTCAATAAAAATTGGTACATAGATGGTCTGTTACATTGCGCAGACCTCGTTAGTTTTACATTCAAATCTGTTCATATTAATTTTCTGATTTGCATTATTAGTTTTCAGCTTTTCCATCACTATCTCAATCAAGTACAAGTAATTTTGAATTATATTTAATGTGTCTCCAATACTCTCAGCACATGGGAGTTCTTTCTAAGCTTTCTTTGATTTTGCCTAGGATCGGAAACAATTTTTTGGCTTGATCTTCTCTTGAAGCTAATAATTAGCTGATGTTTCAATAAATAAACTCTATTAACTATCACTAATTAAATAACAGTTGAAACAAGTGTGACATTAATAATTTATCACTGTTAACCTTCACGTAAATCTAGTTTTTGTCTTCACTGGACATGCTTACTAGTCTCTAAGCAATTTTATTGTCACAGCACCCTCAAACAGTTGACATTAAATTACCCCTGTTTTTATGTACTGGTCCAAATGATTGGTTATTGCAAAGTGTATTCCAGCTACAATCTTTCTTGTAAGGTTACCAGTCAAACAGTTATGCAAATTGTACAATTGTACTTTAAATAAATTATATTTAACTGTGAAAGTTCATTTACACCAGTAAGTTAACATTATATCAAAATCCAATATGCAAAATGCATGTATGATACACAAAATCGGGAGGAGTATTATGGACAAATCACATGACGTGATATTACGCTAATATTGCATAATAATAGTAGCAAGAACCTTGCTGGACATTGTATAATTATTAGCTACATATTACTGATTGTCCTCATCATTTGTTAATTAGTATTCATAAACTTGATTACTTGATTATTTTCATGAGCTTCAGACAGTGACTTTGGATTAATTTCATACAATATAAAAAACTCAAAAAATATATTTTGATTTTCATCACAAAAACCTTAAACCTGACAGGTCTGTCTGCTTTTAATAACTAAAAGAATGGAATTCTTATGTCATTGAAAGCTTATTATGGCATATAACCAGACACAAGATTTCTATTCAGTCTATGTACATTATAAACCTGATTTCTAACAATATTACAAGTAGTTGAAGCATGGATGTCGTTAGGTGTAATTACTTCACATGTATTATTTCTTTTTTCAGGTGAATATGTACGCAGGTGCTTTATTCATCAACTTAGCACTTGGATGGAACATGTATCTTGCCATCGTTACCCTCTTACTGATCACTGCCGTTTACACAGTGTTAGGTCAGTATATCTAATATTGTTGTGTAATATAAGAACTAGCAGTATACTGTGCATATTATCTATCAGTTGTGTGTAGACTAGTTTTTTTGTATTTATCACTTTTATTGGAGTTTCCTTTTAAAGATACATTTCTTGGATGCTTAACTTACATAACAATTACATAACTCACATAAAGTATAATTACAGATAAATTCTTGTCTCTATGTTTGTTGGTGTGTAGACTAGTTAACTTGTATGCATGTTCACAGACATTTCTCAGAAAATGCCATCGATTTTAACATTTGACAGGTGGGTTGACAGCTGTAATTATGTTAACATTTGACAGGTGGGTTGACAGCTGTAATTATGTTAACATTTGACAGGTGGTATGACAGCTGTAATTATGTTAACATTTCACAGGTGTGTTGACAGCTGTAATTATGTTAACATTTGACAGGTGTGTTGACAGCTGTAATTATGTTAACATTTGACAGGTGGGCTGACAACTGTAATTATGTTAACATTTGACAGGTGGGTTGACAGCTGTAATTATGTTAACATTTCACAGGTGGGCTGACAACTGTAATTATGTTAACATTTGACAGGTGGGTTGACAGCTGTAATTGTGTTAACATTTGACAGGTGGGTCGACAGCTGTAATTATGTTAACATTTCACAGGTGTGTTGACAGCTGTAATTATGTTAACATTTCACAGGTGGGTTGACGGCTGTAATTTATACCGATGCTGCACAGACACTGATAATGCTGGTTGGTGCTTTTGTTTTAATGGTTCTCGGTAAGTAGGCATGGCACAGTGTAAACTGCCTTAATTTTGCAAAAGAAAAATGTTTAATTTTGTCTTCTGACCGAAAGAGCAGACTATAACCAGGACTAGAAAAAAAATAGCAAAAATGATGTGACCAAAATATAACTAAGCATAGAAATATTATGTAAGATTTTAAAAACACCTTAGTAATGCTTCTCAAATTTGTTTACTAATTATAAAACAATTTTTGTTTTGCAGCCTTCATTGAGGTACCCTATAAAGAATTGCAAGTAGCGTATTTTGATGCCATACCTAACAGCACGTTATATGGCAACACAACATGTGGCGTTCCCAACAGTGATGCTTTTCATATTTTCCGGGATCCTGTAACATCGGATCTTCCCTGGCCTGGTATGATATTTGGTATATCTATATCCTCACTGTGGTATTGGTGCACTGACCAGGTAAAGTCTACACTTCTATACTACAGGTCTATATTAGCAACCATTACAGTAATAGTCTACACTTCTATACTACATGTCTATATTAGCATCTATTACAGTAATAGTCTACACTTCTATACTACATGTCTATATTAGCATCCATTACAGTAATAGTCTACACTTCTATACTACATGTCTATATTATCATCTATTACAGTAATAGTTACACTTCTATACTACATGTCTATATTAGCATTATTACAGTAATAGTCTACACTT